TCATATTCAATTAAAGATAATTAAGAATGTGCTTCTTGTGATGATGAATATCACCATCACTCATTGCTTGTGAGTGATTCCTTTGACCTTAACAGCTTTTCTTATACTCCATTATTTTCTTGTTTAGGTGGGAGGTCATATTTGTCTTTGGAAACAATTGCTTAAAAAAAATAATAAAAATAAAAAATAAATACAAAATACCAGTAAGACACAATATAAACACGATGATATAATTTTTTTAAGACAATAAAACATGATGAACACTCTAATGAGAGACGATAATAAAATAATAATACAATATATATATATATATATAAGGTCATATTTGTCTTGGAAACAATTGCTTAAAAAAAATAATAAAAATAAAAAATAAATACAAAATACCGGTAAGACACAATATAAACACGATGATATAATTTTTTTAAGACAATAGAACATGATGAACACTCTAATGAGAGACGATAATAAAATAATAATACAATATATATATATATATATATATATATATATATATATATATTCTTATTTTATTCACAATAGCATGAATGCAATCACCAACTTGTTCATATAATTTTGTTTTTTAAGCTTTCAGATTGATAATTTTATGTTGTCCCATAATATATTTTATTATCTCATTTGAGTTGCCTTATTGTCACGCCCCGCCTATGAAGGTTAGGCCACGCAGGCGACACACGGATTCTGAGTAGGACGCTGCATGATAACTGCATGACGAGTGAAGTTTCTACAATTTTCCGGAGTAATCTAGAGTTGTGTGGAAAATTCTAGATATGTGTAGTATATTCTAGAGTTCTCCATAATTGTGTGCAGTAACATGGAGAGTTCTAGAATGTTGTAAATACTTGTAGATAAGTATGAAAGTGTGAAGAAGGTGGGAGAAGATTCTAGAGAATCGATCTCCACCATCGGTTAGAATGCATCATAGCCATCCATTAGGGATGGTGATGCCTATAAATAGGAATGAGACTTCATTTTGTAGACAACAAGTCCTAGAGTGAGTCTTGAGAGCCTTGTAGAGAGTTTGAGAGTTAGCCTTGTACAAAACATTCTTTGAAGTAATAGAAGTGTTCTTTCCTTGCCAACTTAAGTGCCTTAGTGTGTGTGAGTGTGTAAGCCAAATGAGGAGAGGGCGAGAGCCACTACAACACTAGTAAGCGCACGAGAGGAGTGTGTTGGCTAATAGGGCTGGGCAAAAAATCCGTGAATCCGTGGACCCGATCCGTACGGATCGGATCGGATTGCTAAAACCACAGATCGGTGGTGGATTAAAAAAATGTGAATCCGTAGTTCACGGATCGGATTACGGATTACCCTGTCAAAAATCCAATCCGATCCGTGGCTAATTTGTATATATATATAACATTAATATTATACAATATAATTATTTATTTATTACTTTGGGAGTTGACCAGTGGACCACCGACAGATTTATATAGCAAAGAGAAATCAAAAAAATAATTTATTAAGCACGTTTGGGGTAGTTGGATCTGAAATAAGCATCTGGAGACCACAATGTTGCTTGGAATTGAACAAGTCCTCTATCGAGAGTGAGATCACAGCAAACCAAGGTCGCATGGCCAGTGAAGAGTCAGTTGAATCGGTTTGAATTTCTTTTGGATTTAGGGTTTGCTTGCGACTGAAGAAATCAGAGACTACCAACAGCTGATTGTTCTTGTTCTCGTTGATGATGAATCGATGAGATCGAGAATGATTTGAAGAAGAAAATCAACATGATGGAAAGGTCTGGGTCTCATTTGTTGATGATGATGATTGTGAGAGAGAGTCGAAGAAGAAAGAATGACCCTAAGAGGAGATCGGAAAAAAAGAAAATCGGTGGACTGGACGCATGCGAAAGTAACCACATGAACCCTAGGAGGAGATCGGAGAAGAAAATGGGGATGGAGATGAAGATGAGATCCACGGATTGGAACCGATCCGATCTGTTATTTCACGGATTCGATCCGATCCGATTCGTGGACTAACGGATTGGTGGCAGATTCAAAATCTCCTAATCCGTTGCGAGCCGATCGGATTAGGATTTATGCCTAATCCGATCCGTGGCCACCCCTATTGGCTAAGGTGTGCATGGGAGTTAAGCTGACCAAGTACAATTAGGTACAGCTTGTAATATAATTTTTTCAATAATATAATTTACTATTGAAAGACTAAATCAAATTTGTAGAAAATTTATAAGTGGATGTAAAATATGAATCAAACTTGTTAGAAAAAAAAAAGATTAGTATTGAAGATTGTGTCCAATTTATTATACATAATACATCAAGATTGTGTCTAATTTATTTTAGAATTGTCTATCGATACCTATCCATAGATGTGCATTAATTCTATTGTAATCAAGGAAAAAAGTGAGAAGAAATAATGTATCAAGATTTGAAGGAATATATAAAATTGTCTTCTTTTTCAATTCGAGTGCCTGCATTTCTTTTTGTGGGGTAATCTTTAATAGCAATAATATATATATATATATTTGTGGGGTAATCTTTAATAGCAATAATATATATATATATAATTTGAACCAAAAATATATATGTAAAAATTAAAACATTGATTTATTATAGAAAAATTATAGTACATTCACAACAATTTTTCAGATTATTAATTGCTGTTTCAAAATTGAGTTTATTCAATTAAATATACTAAAAAAAAAAAAATCATATTCAATGAATAAAATATAAAAAAAAAAACAAAAAAAAAAACACAGTTATCTAACTGTTCTAATATATCACATATGTAAAATTAAAAAATAATAATAAAAAAAATCCCATAATAACAGTAAATTTGTGATTTCATTGATTTGGGTTGCAAATAAAAACAAATTCTAAGTCTTATTTAGATGATAATAATTAGTAACACAATTTCATAAACTAAATTTTAAAAGAACAACAAGCCCTAAAATAATTTTGATAGTAATAATTAATAATTTTTCTAATTAAAAAAGTAAATTTAGATGAAATAATTACCTGTCGACTGGTAAATGGTTGCTCCGCATATTTTGTTTAGATTGTGAAAAGTGTTGAAGATTGAAGATATGATGGAAACAATCTATTTATTTGTGGTAAAGTCAAAAGTGTTGCAGAATATCTTGATGAAATGCTTTTTTTTTTAAAAAAAAATGAAAAAGAATATAATATTTTGAGAAAGTGGAAAAAAAATATCATATTTTATGGGAAAGTGATAAATTGATAGATATATTATATATATTTACAATGGTGTCATGATTTTATTCCTTTGTTTTGTCCTTTTATTTTATTTTTTTTATTTTTTTTGGTGTAAATTCGTGAATGAGCTTTTGGTTATATATATATATATATATATATATATATATATATAGTATATATGCACTGTCAGATTTTAGAAGGGACCATTATACAAATATAAAAATCTTTTTATATAAAATTTAAAAAAATTAAAAATTGAGTGGGGACAGTTGCCCCCACTAGTTCCTTTGTGCTACACCAGTGACTCTGCTGATCAATTATTAATATAACACAAGCAATTAGCACCATAATTATTTTTATTTCATGTTCATGATGCTGCCCTTGTACCAAACTTTATTTATCTATTTTTCCCTTTGGAGGATGTTAAGATGACATTATTTTCTTTGATGACTGTGTTTATAATGGAGATTGGGTTTAATTAAATATATAATTGCAAGTTGTGTTTGTGCCAACCCAATCAGGGAATCATGTTAGCTAGCTATCTTGTCAATGCCAGCCTAGTTTTTGCCATTGCTAATCTTGATCACATATTTTATATGTGGAGCACCGGCGTCCATAATAAAATTTAAGCATGGAACGAAATTTAGTTTAAAATTTATATTTAAAGTATTAATTCGATAATTTTAAACATAATAATAATGTATATTAGGACTGAATTATTTCCGGTGCACTAGTCTTTTTATTCCCTTCGTTCCATATTAGTACTCTATTATTTTATTTTTACATGTCATCTTTTATATTTCCATCATTGTTCTTTATCTTTTTTAAAAATTTCAAATTTTGTAACTATATATATTTAAATTAGAAAAGACAATTTGATAATTTTAAAAGGGCGACAATGCATTAATTGTATGTCCTTTTAAAAACTCTAATTTTTATAAATGAACATCAATTGTGAGACGGAGATAGTAATATATTGACGGGCTCATTCTCACATGTTGCTAGCACATCGTTGTAGATGGATCCATAATTATGTGCATTATAAATGATTCAAGTTTATATTAATTATAGTGTACAGTAGGAAAATTTATCAATAAATCTTAAAAGAAAACTATTAGTCTTATAAAGTTGTAAGTAATATTTTTAGCTCTTACACTTGCTACCTTTTTTTCCATATAAATTTAAAAACTTCCAATTATAACTAAGTTTTTGTGAATTTTTTTTATTTATAAAAAAACTAAATAATTTCCTATTCAACATGTTTAGTATTTTCTTAGCAATTGTGGGAATTTTTTTTTTTTTGGTCAATTTCTAAATTTTAATTGTTAAATAATATGACTATTTTAGATAACGAATTGAAACTTCTTGCAAGAAATAAAGTTTACTATAATATTAAATAAATTAAAAATAAGAAGTTGCAATAAGTTTTAGAGATTTAAAACTAATATGGAAACATTTTGATGGTAAGATTGATAAATTCGCTAGTCATTAAATATAATATATATATATATATATATATATATAATTAATTAATTAAGATATAATAAAATTGAGATCGGAGCACAAATTATTATTTTTTGTTTTATGACAGCTTTACCCTTGAATAATTTAGCTTTTTCCATGTATTTAAAAAAGTGAAGGGAACTTGTATCTATGCCACGTACAATAAAAGAACAAAAGGCTAGGTTAGGATACCACATCTTCCAACAGGCGTGAAGACAAAACAATCACCGCCAAATGTCTAATTTATTTATTTAGGTGGCCAAAACCTTAATCCAATTACCATTAATGGGATTCTCAATGTGACTTTGACCCATCACCCCCCACAACTCTCTCTCTCTCCTCTCCCCCCTCTTTCTCTCTCTAAAAAAAGACTCCATTTGTTCCCCCCTCACCGTTCTCAAATCTAAACTGTTCACACCAGAGAGAGAGAGAGAGAGATATGAAATGGGCACAACAAAAGCATTGAAATTAGACCAGTCTCACTCTCTCACAAAGAAGTTCTTACTCTGGACACTATATGCCCTCCTTTCCATAGCTATTATACACTTATATTTATCCCCAATAACCCTTCCTCTCTCTCCCACCGACCACCTTCCTCCAATCAACCCCATTTTCACCACCGCCGCCGCCCCCACCGCCGCTTCCTCTCCCTCGCAAGGTACACACTTTTTGTGTCAAACCCATTAAATATCACGCATAGTAGAGTCACACAAGCACACGCGCACACACAATTTTGTAACAATCCCATTAAATGTGATGAATTTTGGTGTGGTTTTAACACAGTGGAGTCACACAAGTAACAAATTTTTTGATATTGTCTTTATTTGCAGAAGGGGAAAGAAGAGACAATGTTGTTGGGGTTGTTCCATGTGACTACACCAATGGCCAATGGGTGAATGACAAATTGGGGCCTTTGTACAATGGTACAAGCTGCGGTACAATCAAGGATGGTCAGAATTGTATGGGCCACGGGAGGCCAGACATGGGCTACCTCTACTGGAGGTGGAGGCCCGACCAATGCCACCTCCCAAGGTTCGACCCCAACACATTCCTCCAAATCATGGCCAACAAACACATAGCCTTTGTGGGTGATTCCATGGCCAGGAACCAACTCGAGTCCCTCCTCTGCTTGCTAGCCACCGTCTCCGCCCCTAACCTTGTCTACACCAACGGCGAAGACAACAAGTTCCGCCGGTGGCACTTCAAATCCCACAATGTCAATGTCTCCGTTTATTGGTCACCATTTTTGGTTAAGGGTGTTGAGAAAAATGGCAATTTGGGGCACAACAAGTTGTACTTGGATTCTGTGGACGAGCGTTGGGCGTTTGAACTGGATGGGATGGACATGGTTGTCCTATCGGTCGGGCATTGGTTTCTACACCCCGCGGTGTATTTTGATGGGGATAAGGTGCTCGGTTGTCACTCCTGTGACGGCGAAAACTTCACGGAAATCGGGTTTTATGACGTGTTCAGGAGGGCTTTCGAGACGACCCTTAATGGCATTATTGATAGGCGGAAGGCTAGTGAAAACGCACTCGACGTGATGGTGACTACGTTCTCGCCCCACCATTTTGAAGGCGCTTGGGACAAGTTTGGTGCTTGTCCCAAGACGGAGCCTTACAAGGTAGGCGAAAAGAGGTTTGAAGGAATGGACTTCGATATGAGAAGGATTGGGGTTGAAGAAGTGGAGGTTGCGAGGTTGAATGCCAAGCGATTCGCTAGGTTGAGGGTTGAGGCTCTGGATGTCACCGAGTTATCGTTAATGAGACCGGATGGCCATCCGGGACCGTACATGTACCCTTTTCCGTTCGCCAATGGGATCGGAGAGAGGGTACAGAATGATTGTGTCCATTGGTGCTTACCGGGACCGGTGGACACGTGGAACGAGATATTGTTGGATGTAATGAAGAGATGGAACAACCAATCTAGGAGTGGCAATGTCATAAATGAAATGCTGTCGTGAAGGCATTCTCAGTTTAGATTAATTTTTTTTGATCATTGAGAATGTTACTTAGTCGTGTTTAAAGGGAGGATCTCATAGGGAGAGTGCTTTCGTGATAGACTTGTGTTAAATGGAGGAGGAGGAGGATATTTTTCATTTGGTTTATCTCTATTTGGGTTGTGATTAATGCTGTGTGGAGGGCCAAAAGAGCGGACATGAGTGATTGAGAAGTTTTGGTTGGGTTCTCCTATTGAAGAAGAGAGATATGGGTAGGGAAAGAATATGAAAGCAAGATTTGATGCTGCCAAAGGTACCAACTTGTAGGAGAGAATTTAGATTATATGAAATGTATACAAATGATTTTAATGTGAATTTCTGAATACATTTAAAGAGCATTGGCCTTTTCTATGGTTTCTTTTGGAAATTCAGGATGTGAAGTTTTTGGCCACATTCATTTGCACTTGCATGCCATCAATTTGAAAGAAACTCATCAGAGACAAGGTACCATATAAAATTGAAAGTCTATTAAGGACATGAATACAACCCAACACCGGTACATAAAAATTCTAAGAGATGATGAAGAATTTAAGTTGGGCATTATCTTGTGGAGAAAAATAATATAAAAACATAATCCAAAAGATCTTTACCATAAGTTTCTCCTAGACTTGCTCTTATTTCCTTAATCTTCTCCACCACTAACTCTTTTGACATTCCCACCACTAACTCTTTTGACATTCCCTTGTACTTTAATTTATAATTTTCATGAGTTTGAAACCAATTGATTGTTGTTTGAAACTATTTGGTAGCTACAGTTGAAGACAAATATGTGCATTTGATGGACCAACAATAAAGGGTAAATTAAGGCCTTGAACTAAGCTCTCCTTAATCAATTGGTAAACCTTAATGATGTGGAAGAGAAACAAAATTAAGGTTGGTTATTTGCTCTATATTACAAACTATTAAAACAAAAATAAGAAAAAGAATCCGAAATCTGCTTTAAATAGCAAACCCCAACAGAAAAAGAAGAATGAAAAAAATAAAAAAATAAATTCTTGCATTTAGAGAAGGCTATATAGTCGTCTTCTAGTAGAAGGTCCATGGTTTAAGTCTTCCAAAAATAAAAGAGTGTGATTCTTACCACTTGTATAAACTTAAAAAGTAATGGTGGTATTGTGACATGGCAATAGAGTTGAGAGGGAAAAGTTAAAAAGAGAATTAGATAAACTGAGAAGAGATATTAAAGAAAAGTTAAAAAATCATTATCTAGGTGGGACATATAAGGGACAATGTCCCTGTTCATTCCTCTGTATTGATAGATGAATCCCTGTAAGCCTGGCCAGGGCTGCATCAATTGGAACTCTAGCACCCTGAGGTCAAGGTTTCAAGAATAATTACCAAAGTAATCTAAAATTCAAATAATAATAATCCAAAAATAAAATAAAATAAATAAAATGATGATGATTATACACACACATATAAATGATATTCAGAAACTCTCCATTACCTAGTGGACTGAAAGAAGCTAAAATTCAGTGAGTTGTTTATATATTCAATTTTCATCAAAATAAACTACAATTCAAAGATGTTTATTTCTTGAATAACTTGTACAAAGGACTAGTATTTCACATAGATGATCTCAAGAACCCATTGGAGATGCACAAAATTGCCAGTTTCTTCTTTTCCACCGTAATTTAATACAAATCCACCAAAAAGTTTACATCTTTTAAATGAAATATATCAGAACCAAATGGTGGTACTAATAGAATAAACACGACATACATGGAAATGTTCCTTTCTTATGATCTTCTCATTCCCCCCTTTTTTTTTTCTTTTTTTTTTATACATTTCATCTTCTGTGAAATCCATTTATTATAATTAAATGGAATGAATATTTGGCACCTTATCAAACTGCTACAATTGTTACACACTGCTGAGCGCACACAAGAAAGTGATCCAGAAGCCACCGGCTAGGATTTGCCAAACGCTTCTGATAATGAAGAATCCGATGAGAGTTTATAAAGCATGATTGTTTTTTATGGCAAACATTTTCAAGCTGGTGGGGTGTTCCGACCAATCTGAATTTACTTTTGAATTCCAGTAGAGAATCTTCTGGAGTTCTTTTATGCATTCTTCCATTGAGGGTCTCTCACTACTTTCAGTACGAACACAGCGCGATGCTAGGTTTGCAAACATGGATATAGACTCCATTGTGAATGAACTCCGGCTCATCTCTGGATCTATCACCTTGCGCAGTTTTTTCTTGTTGTTCAATATATGCCTAACCTGAAATTTTCCAGGAGCACCAATTGCCATTTCATGGCAATTTAGAATTAACTTTTAACGTACTGGATAGTTGATGATGATGAAAAGAAAGTGTCGCTACCTGTAGTACAAGGTTTTGATCATTGGGTCCTTGGCTCAGGTCCAAAGCTCTCCTTCCAGTCAAAAGCTCAAGCAGAACAACTCCAAATGCATAAACATCACTTTGTAAAGTGAGTTTTCCTGTCTGTTGCCAAAGTAAACATATTTTAAGCTTTAGACCCTCATAGGCATCATTTAAATGAAAAAAAAAAAAAAACCCCATTTCTATTGCTAATCACTTTTAAAAAGAAAGGAATTATAGTCTTTCTAATTGGTAAGCCTATTGCAATGAAGTGTATGGTCAATAAGTGCCTTAGAAATTGGAGGAAAACAAAGTAGAAGGCGTTTTATGAACTTAGGTCGGCAACCTTTGCATTTAATCCAAGTATTTGTGAACACACACTTCTCTGTGAATGATTTTAGTCCAAGGTGGTCTTAGAGAAGACGATACATCTTTATTTATAATACACATGGTATCACAAAAAAATTGCATTCGATTAATTAGTTTTTTCATATTGTGTAGTTTGAGTTCAGAAGCTGTTATTTTGAGCATATTGAGGAATCCTTCATTTTAAGTTAAGAAGCTGTCATTCTGTGCACTTAGTCAGAATCTTCATAACGAAATTTGATTGTAAAATATTAAATTGCTTTTGAAAAGTTATGATTTTAAATTTCTCTACATAACGTCAGTTGTAAGGAGATTACCTTAGGTGTGAGATTCTTGAGTTATGGGGGAACAGAATTTTCATTGTCAAGACAGGGTAAAGGTCACAGTAATCTTTCATGTTTACAAATTGCAGAGGACATATCTATATACTTGTATATAATTCTCAGATTTGCCTGTTGTTTTGCTATTGATACTTGAAAAACAAATGAAAGAAAAACTAAGCGTCACAATTTCCATTATCGAGCCCTCTAGATTTGGGATCTAACCATCGTCATAGTTCTAAAAGGGTTTTAAATTTTTAAGTGCAATGTTTTACACAAAATAAATAAATAAAAGTAAAAAAAAAAAATTGACTCTAATATATAATATATATGTGTGTGTGTGTGTGTGTGTGTGAGTGTGAATAAATGTGAAGGAAGTTAATCAATTGATACCTATGTGCCTTCATATTTTCAAGCTGCATATATTCCTACTAGCTTATCTACTCAGCTGCTATTAGCTTACATGAATATATGATATTATAAGCAGATGTATGTATTGAATGCATATGATCACTTTGATTCAGAAACACTCAATCATTGCTTCTTGTCTAGTTTTTCAAAGTTGATTTCATAGTGGCAATTTATATTTTTAATTCTTGGCAGACCTAACAAAACAGGGAATAGAATGAATAAATATATAAAATCTGTAAGAAATATTAGGGAGAAAACATATAGTGGAAATATTGGAAGAATTTCAAACACTAACGACAATTAGAAATATATCATTGTGTAATAAAGACGCATACCGATGTATACTCGGGATCAAAATAGCCAAAAGTACCAAGAACTCTGGCAGTCACATAGATTTCCTGGCCCTCTGGCATGAACTTGGCAAGTCCAAAATCTGATATCTGCCAAAACAGATAAGAAACCTTAGCATATATTGTCGGCTTAAAAAAAAAATCCGGGATAGAGATATTCAAGTTAATTACCTTTGCTTCAAAGTTGGTGTTTAAAAGAATGTTGGTAGATTTGAAGTCCCTATGAACAATTGGAATCCCAACAGCAGAACTTGAATGGAGATAAGCAAGTCCTCTAGCCGCTCCGATAGCCACTTTGAGCCTTGAAGGCCAATCCATCTTCACTTCTCCAATTCCTAGAATCCAGTTTAAGAGAATTAGAAGTTAAATACAAGGACTTTGACAAGTGAATCGGCTTTTTCGAGTCAAAACCAACCATTTAAATGATCTTGCAGGTTCCCTTTTTGCATATGCTCGTATACTAGAAACCTATGCTTCCCATCAGCACAATAGCCTATTAGGGAAACCAGATTTGGATGGTCCAGTCTGCTCAACATATCAACTTCCACACGAAATTCGCGTTCCCCTTCGGCTTCTTTGAATTTTGGTAGCTCCATTTTCTTGATTGCAACAACCTTCCAACATCAAAATAGAGAGAAGAAATGGGATGTTAGGAATTCACCTACTGTTTGGTGACTATGGTCCATTCATTCTATATAATGATACAGTATGTCTATTTTGATTGAAAAAAAAATCTCTACAATTGAAGAAAATTTGCCACAACAGTTCTTGTGTAAGACTGTAAAATTCAATTCTTTTCCATAATTAGTGATTGTAAGCTATTTTTTTTTCTGAATTGTGAATGAACCAAAGCTGTGTAATTGGTGGAAATTCAATTCTTTTCTAGAATGGGTGATTGTAAGCTAACTTCTTATTGTGTTTTTCTGAATTGTGCATGAACCAAAGTTGTGTAATTGGTGAAAATTCAATTCTTTTTATACAATCAGTGATTGTAAACTAACTTTTTATTTTGTTTTTCTGAATTGTGCATGAAAACAACTTGTTTAATTGGTGGAAATTCAATTCTTCTCTACAGTTAGTGATTGTAAGCTAACCATCTATTATCTTTTTCTGAATTGTGCATGAACCCAACTTGTGTAATTGCTGGAAATTCAAGTCTTTTCTATAATTGGTGATTGTGAGCTACTTTTTATTATCTTTTTCTGAATTATGCATGAAAACAACTTGTGTAATTGCTGGAAATTCAATTATTTTCCAGAATTAGTGATTGTAAGCTAACTTTTTATTATGTTCCTATGAATTGTGGATGAACCCAAGTTGTGTAATTGGTGGAAATTCTTTTTATTATGTTCTTATAAATTGTTCATGCACCCAAGTTGTGTAATTGGTGGACATTCAATTCTTTGTCTACAATTAGTGATTGGAAGCCAACTTTTTATTAGGTTCCTCTGAATTGTGTATGAACCCAAGTTGTGTAATTGGTGAAAATTCAATTCTTTTCTACAATTACTAATTGTAAGCTAACTTTCTCTCTCTCTCTCTCTCTCTCTCTATATATATATATATATATATTTTTTTTTTTGAATTGTATAAAAAATGTTAAATGAAACATACCTCTCCAGACCTCAAAGTGCCCTTGTAAACTTTGCCAAATCCTCCTTTCCCAAGCAAATTCTCATCACTGAAAGAGCATGTTGCCTCCTCCATTTCCCTTAGTGTGAAAACTGATGATCCTTGCCGTCTTTTCGCCGGTGGGTTTTGATTTTCAAGTTGCCAATTTTCCACAGTTTTATATATCCCTGAAAAATTGAATTGGTTCAAAAACATTCAAATTTTGAAAAGATTATATACAAATGATATTATTATAAATATATATTTTAAAAATTTTAAGAAAAAGGGTTAGAAATTTTTTTGAACAAAACACAAAATGTGATATCAATCAGAAAAGAAAAGATGCAGAACATTACAAGGGTCAACATGATCCTCAGACTTGCTTCTCCTGCGCTTATTCCATGCCGAGACCAACCCAAAAGGCATGCTGGTTCTTCTCTGAAGAGATCTACTTTTATCACTTTCTCGACTGAAATCAAAGATTTATTTCTCATGAACCAAACAACAAAAGAGAAAATTTATCTCCACAACACCCTGAGGCATTATCATATGGGTAGAAAACTCAATTTTCAGAAAGGAAATACAATTGATTCTCAGCAGAGAAATGGAAAATAAGCAGAAGAGAAATGATGGGTAGTATTAGAATCCTGCAAGAGTAAGTATAAAGCAAATTATATTTGGAGAATACTCTCAACATACTCAACAACTCCATCTTCCAACGTTCGATAAAGAGAGTGAGAGCTACTCGAAGAAAAAGAAAATAGCAAAGAAAAGAAAAGAAAAAAACTTTTTTTTTTTTCCAATTTTTTTTTTTTTTTAAGAGAAAAAAAAAAAAAAAGGTTTGAATTGCTTTGCTTACCATTAGATGTGAGGTGGGATGTGACTGTGATGTCTACCATTTCCATTTCTCTTATTTAGGATTAGGATTCTATGCTGGTAAGTTACAATATACGAGCATATATATCTATATCTAATTTATAATGATAAACACTAGTATGTTATCTGGTTAGTATGCTACAATATATAAACATATATATATATATATATATATATAATTAATGATAAACACTAATGTATTATTAAGATAACACTAGCCCTTGTTTTAGGATTAAAATATGTTTCTACTCCGTATTAGTAATAAGTCATTTATTTATTGTGCTGTATTGACGTCTGTAGATGTTGTGTGACGAATCATGAAATTAGTCTCTCTTTGTTGGAGGATTGTGACCAATTGTTTTTAATTTTACAGTCTATGTATCAATCTGAAAAAGAAAGACAAACCAATGCTTTTGTGAGTGGAGAAAATATAGCCGTTGAGGTGTCATTTTCATTTATTATAACATTCTATTTGTATGATGAAACAATGTCTACCAGAATTAAATTTGTTTACCATATTGATGAAACAATATTTATAACTTTGGTTGGTAATTAAGGGTTTGTAATAATTATACTACCACGTACACCTGTATATACTATGCTTTTTTTGTTGCTTGATTGTAATTATGTTTACTTGGTTCCATCAAATATCTCATCATCTTGGCATCATTATTTCAATTGAAACATCAATGAAGATACTAGAATCATTTAATTTCATTCACATGATGATGGCTCAGATTTTGTTGGATTTTGATAACTAGAGACCATGTAGTTTAGTTCAATTACAACCCCTTTAGCATTGAAAAGTGGACCCATAAAGTTTAATTAAGTTATATTAAAAAAAAAATTTGAATATAAATTTTGCTTGAACTGGGACTATTGGGTGATTTATGATCTAGAACCGCTGTAATTTCTCTCACACTTTTACTTTTTGAATTACTTAATTCATATATAGGGATGTCAAGAGAATGGCTTGAGACATAGCACCCTTCTTTCAAATTATAAAAACTTTTAACACACCCGTCCCGCATTTTAAGTCGGGACGAATTTGAGGAGCTCTTTTTAAGAAAAATAATTTAAACTTGAACAAATTTAAGATAAATGTTATAAAAAAAAATAAATTTTGACAAATATTTAACACCTCTAGTAATAAAAATGTTGTTAAAATTCAAAAGTATTATAAAAACTGAAAGAAAAATAAAACTCAAAAAATATTTTATTAATCGGAATGGCTTTGGGCCTTTGCGAATTTTAAATTCTAATTTTAAACCAGAAGAGGAACTAGATTGATATTTCTTGTTGCGACTTTGTAGGTAGGTGTGTTGTGGGCGGGTGCAAGAGGCACTGACAAGCAATAAGTGCATAATCCTACAATTGTCTAGGCATGGGAAGAAAAAGTGTTATATATGTAGGTGTGTCACTTCAATTGGTACGAAACCTTTTGGGATAAAAGTGATAAAATCCAAGAGTGCGGGTTCAGACTCAAAGCAAATAATATCATATCATATGGTGGTATGTCATTCTAATTTAATATGATCCCTTTTGGGATAAAACTCAAGAACAAAACAATCGTGCGAGTTCAGACTTGAAACGAATAATATTATATTGTATGGTAGAGTGGGTCATAGTAGTTGGACTGTAGGAGGAATAAAGGTCTTTGGTTTCTCATTTGGAGTTTTTTTTTTTTTCTTTTTTCTTGACATAATCTAAATGGGGGAATTGACATTCATAAAATATAGGGTGCTTTACAGACGTAAACTTAGAAAAGAAAGTGCTTACAAGAACCTAAGATGGCACTTCCAAGCTAAACAATCGTATTTTATATTATATTATATAGATATATAAAAATATTTTTTTCTTTTTCAGTGAGTGCAATGGACAGGTAGACCTATTTCTTTAAAATTAATGCGTGTAAAATATCCTAAAGTTGTATCCACAACAAATGAGTGGACCTTAGGTTGGTGACTTCACATCTGAATCAATTTGACCCCAGCTCTAGTCTTTATATGTTAGTCTAGGTGATGGAAAAAAGTTTACAAATTTAAAAAAACAGAAGAAGAAAAAAGCCCAATTACTTTGGAATAGAGGCCCGCCCGCATATGGAGTTGGGCGGATATGGACGGGTTGGTGGGTTTTGACCCATTTTACCATCCCTACACACTTTAACTGCAAGAGCCCGCATAGGGAAAGCCCAATATTGCTCAAGTCATTTGTACCGAAGGTCCATGATCAGAGAGTGGTGTTTATTTTAATGGATCACAGCCGAGAAAGCCCACATGACCATGGTCCAATATTCAAAGACTATAAAGCTACTCAATAATAATGTGAACTAAAAAAAAATAATTACATGTGGAGATATTTGCGTTTTCCTAAAAGAATAATACTAACATGTGGAGATATTTGCATTTTTCTTTTTGATAAATGCAATTTTTTTTAATATTTTTTGTTAATGTAAATGATAGATATATACCTGGAAATGAATTGGCTCCACACTGGACCAAAAATTAAGATAAGAAATTAGACTTACTCTTATATATCAGATGTAACAAATTGAATTTTTATTATTTAATTCAAAAGTTTAAGTTATTAGTTGATTTAATTTAAAAGTTTAAGCTATTAAGTGATTATATCTACCTACAAGGTTATGACTTTTCCTAGTTACACACACATGACTTATAAGTTAGGACCATTTTTGCCAACATATGTGATAGACCGGTAGCAATAACCTTTGTTTTTACTTTCAAAAGAAGCCAAATTTACTTTTTACTCTAGCTTTCTATGAGCTTTTAACAAAGTAACAAGAAAGACAATTAATTGACAGTTAACTCCATCAGAATATTTTTTTATAATACCAAAATTACCCTTCAAATAAATAAAATTACATTTTTATTCCTAATTAATATGTGGTGTGACAAAACTAACCCCGAAACCCTCAAACTTTTTACTAAAGTTTTATCTTTTCTCTTAGAATATGAGGGAGGAGCGAATTAACTTGAGCATGCACATTATGTTGTCCTAGTGAGGTTGGAGAATTGGGATTGATCAGCAAAATACCTTATAATATAAAAGTCCAATTGCCAAAATACCTTATAATATAAAAGCTAGAATACAATTTCATCTTCTCTATTGTACAACTACGTAAACTTTGTCCCACTCGAAACAATATCAAACCTAAGCATCAAATAGGAATTGGTTTGATTTTAAAAACATGGTATTGATAATAGAATTATATTACAAACCACACTTGTGCAATTATTGACTTGAGTAATTCCAATTTCTATAAATTAAATTGCATTAAACAAATAAATGTGGTTGATCTACAATATTTATCACACAACAATAAGAGACCCAACTTCAAGTATAGAATTGAAAGAGGAAACAAAATCTCCCTAATTTAGATATCTACAAAAAACCAGCAAGTCTATCTTCTTCTCTTCACACTAGTTGGGTGGCAAAAGGAGTAAGAAAAGGAGTAAGAACCATCAAGTGTGTCGCTTAGAAGTGTTACTTACACAATGCAAACTCATTTGCAGCACAATATTTATCCTACAATAAAAAAAACTACTCATTCTATTTATCTTTCCAAATTCCTGGGGCGGAGAGAATTTAAATAATATTTACGTAGGTTTAGTGCCTTAGTTTCCTCAAATATCTAATAATAATGATGTTCATATTTTCTCCACTCCATAATAAAATGCACATGCACGAAGCTAACAAAGCTAACAAATAAAACTAAGTTAGTTAGAATGAAGTTTTTCATGCAATTAACGTTTCAAATACTAATATTTATCTAGACATGCTAGAAACAACTCTTCAAAATAAGCATGAAGAGCTTTGTACGTGACTAATTTTTTTTGAGGTATAATTGAGTAAACAATAATTTGGTGATACTGTTTTGCTTCCAAACCCTCAATCCAACTTCGTAACTTATGCTAGACATTTACCATTTAAGTTTGTCGAAAAAGATGAAAAATATCAAATTGGTAGAACTTTACGCTTAACTTATACTATTCATTTAGGTGCTCAAAAAAAATTCACTATCTTACTTCGGTTATTTCTTTCTCATTTTATTTAAGTTATGTTTGAAAGCATCAAATGACAACTTGTAATTAAGATTAAAAAAAAATAATTAAAATTTAAATTAAATTTCTTATTTCAATTACCAGTCACCAATTAGTTGCTCTCAAATGCTACTTTAGAATGATGATTGTCTAGCTAAAGAGGATGGACGAAAACTTAGCCCAACTTCCAGGGCTAAGGGATGCAATGACGTGGGCCTCATTTAATTGCATGTAAGGGATGCAGTTGGCGTCCACTAGTTCCTTGACTGGTATATTATCACACATTCATTTATCTATTTTAGAATATGTTAATTTTAATTTTTTTTTTTTTTTGAAAAGGCTAAAATGTGTGAAAATGTGCTTCTACTAATGATTGAATAAAAGAAGGGTTTTTACACCTCACGTGCCATATTTTAGTTGAGGTGTACCCTTTTAAATAAATATATAACTGAATTATAGCAGATGTCATATAATCGTACTTTATTTATTCACATTTGGTCATATTTGATTGCGATCGTAAATGAAATAAATTTTTGACTATTAAATTATTTTAGCGTTGTTGCCTGTCACAAATTAATGGAATAAACATGATTGTATCCTTATGTTGGGAGATACTAACAGCTTTTTTTTTGGATTTTCCAATTATAATATAAATTTACCCTCAGAATTTCTATTAGGCAAATTGAAGTAAAAGATTTGTTGAATAAATACACTCTCACTATTACCAGCCAAACACATTCGTACTTTCTCTCATGCCATAATAAGGTGACATACACACGTTAGCTAAAATTAATGAAT